TTTGTATGGAATTAGAGCGTGGTTGCTGTCAGATGTTTCCCATTTTCAACACGGACCTTATTGATCCCTTATCCTCAAGCTTCTCAAGCGTATTTCAGAACTCCTTCTTAATGTATTTTCAAAATCGCTTCTAAATACATAGTTATTCCATTTCAGACGATAAAGTTTTTTGTGATGCTTTACTCATCTTAGATGCGTGTTTGGAATTTAAATCTCATATTATTACTAATAATAAAGTCATGAAATCTATATTTAGCGCAAAATTAAATTGCAAATTTTTCCTACATATATTTTATTATTGTATGTATATTGAAATAAAATTACTCATCTTCGCTGATGCAAAACGGAGAAAGAAATTGATGACGATCTATGTTTTACAACAAAAAAGCCATCGTTTTAATAAAGTGTCAATAAATATTGGCGATGTCGTTTACTAGTACCGGTATCCAAATTCTTCACACCTCCTGCAGCATTTCAATGATAATAACATTGATAAAATAAAAACTGGGTTTGTAAAACCCAAATTGCAGTAAATTATTTCATTAGCATACATATTTCTGGATGCTACATAACTGTGTTTTCGAACCACGAATGAACATTGTAAAAGCAAACAAATGGTGAGGTACAATATATCGAACGATATGACCTAATTAGATTTAATTAGGTGAGGTTTTGGGTTACAAATGGACATTTTAGGGAGAGAAAAACATAGGTTTTGAACGGTAGTCACTAATCAATCGTCGAACCACCGTGCGCCGATCCCAAAGTAACGAAACTAGCTAACTCAAATCGATAAAAGTTTCTCAGGTTATGGTTATAGTCAGTTATGAAGTACGAGCCAAGATATTACCACCTAAGTCTCCACGAACTCAATAGCCACACTTACAATTTCTCGCAGTATCACTGTGGCCTGGAATCCATATGCATACGTTTAATTAGAAAATATTCCAATGCTTCTACTCCAAAATCAGTTTTGACCAGGAAAATCAACAACAGACCAGTTTTTCCCCTTCAAACATAGCTATTCACAGGAGGGATTGACACCCTTTCAAGTAACAAAGATATTCAAAGCTTGCTTAGAAAATTTCATATTACTGTAATGTTTTCAGAATGAGATCAGTGCAAATATGGTACTCGTGATGGACCTTGTTATAGAGGCTGACCGAAGATAGAGTTTTCCAACGAAGCCGATGACTTACTTTAAAATTATTTTATAATCTTCGGAAACATCAGGGTTGTGGTAAATTCTGCAGCACTTCTTGGCTGTTGGCCTTCCGAAGCGAAACCCTCAAAAAACTGGCGGGAGTCGTTAAAGATTCCTACGGCTATCGACGCAGAGGGGAAAGGATGACGATTTCACAAAGGCCGAAAATATTAAAGTGATACGAATAAGATGGTTGGCCACGTACTTACTGAATGCAAAGAAAAGATTCAGTAATAAAGCAAAAAGTAGATCCAGTTCGCGACGAACTGATGAATTGGAGGAGTAATTCATGGAAATCCCACGTTTAGCCTAAGGCCTCCAAAGTGTTGATGGCATCTTTGGTAAAACGTGGGGTACGTCAACAAGGGCTATACGCTGATCTCGGTGATCAGACCTATTACAATGTGCGACAAAAAAAACTATAAATAATATATTTGCAAAACTATGGGAAAAATATAGTAAAACTGCGTATTTAGTTTATCTCTTTGACATCAGGATTTTTTTTAAAGGACTTTCAAATTTCAAAAATATGTTTAATTCAAAACATTATTTAAAAAATTCAGTTTTAAAGGGCTTTGAAATTTCAAAAATATATTTAATTCAAAACATTATTTAAAAAATTCAGTGCAATGTAGAATAACAATAAGAATTTTTTAAAGGACTTTAAAATTTTAAAAATATGATGAATTCAACACATTATTTAAAAAATTCAGTGCAATGTTGTATAACAATAAGGCTATCAAATAAAAGAGAAAACTCTTTAGGATTAAAACCGATTAAATTTGTTGATGAATAAGGACGAATGGGTATGGAAAATGTACTTTTAAAATTTTGTCCTCGAATATCCTTGAAAATTTGCAATATCTATTTTTGAAAAAAATTTTATTTTAAAGACTTACATACACACGACCATATCCTAGAATTATGTGCCGCTAACTTTTTAGCTTGAAAAAATTATATATTAAAAAGGGATTTTTAATTCGTCCTTGTAAACCAAAAAAGTTTTTGAATTCTACAGAATTTTGTCTTTTATTTGGTACCCATATTGTTATTGTACATTGCACTGATTTTTTTTTAATAATTCATTGAATTAATAATATCTTTAAAATTCCAAAGTCGTTTTCAAAAAAATCCTGGCGTCAGAGTGAAAAATTAAAAACGACGTTTTACTATATTTGAGCCATAGTTTCATGAGTATATTGAATGTTTCGTGTGTTTTGAAATTTTTTTGTTTTCGTCGCACTGGTTGGCATTTTCCTAACGAAAAATGTTATCTCAAACCCCTCTTCACACAAATACTAAGAAGAGGGCAATGAGAAGGCAACATAACACCATAAGAGTTAACATTAGTCGTATAAATCGCTCGATATACATACGAGTTTTGGAGAACATTTCAAACATTTTTAGCCACTTATAGCGTTTGTGTTACTTCCTTATATAAATATGTATTTAGTAAGAAATTAGGTGTTGCTTAATATGTATCTTCCTACGTCTACACGTATTAGGTGCCAAACAGAAATAAATAAACAGTTCTAAAAGACAGTCGCAACGAAATACTACATCCGACGGAACGTACTATGAGTAACAGTTAGGCGGCATCCAGCGTTTTCAGAATTCTTACAATAGTTAGAGTGAGCGCAAAAACAT